TCAGCCCAAAAACATCCAAGCTTTGATAGTAAATGATTGTACATTTGTATTAGGCTCATAATGTTTGTGTTTTCCATGCATCTCCTTTTTTATTGACATGGATTCTTGACACTTACCTGTTTACAGCTGAGATAGTCTTAAGCAGGATTAACCCCTCATCAGTATAAGTGGATGTCACATTTCTGTTATGCAGTGAAGATGTAACAGATTCAGATGTTATCGTCCTTTTTTTGAGTAGATCTACTTTTTGTTTTCATAACTTATTACGGCTGTAAAAAGCTGAACTTGTTGCTTCTTCAGAAATGGGTATGTTAACACGTTAACAAGAAACATGCAAAGAATCTGGATAAGCCAAAACATTTCCACACAGCGTAGTTATTAATCCTCAACAAAATGTCACAACTCTTTTCACAGAACATTAATACACATTTTTGCAAAGGAAAACATTTTTCTTATATTGTGAACTGTACAAGAAACAAATAGTGAATATAACAATTTACACCAAGTTTGGTTAAGTAACTTTACAAAAGTAGTAAAGTCTGTCTAATTGTAATAGATATATAACCCCATTAGAAAGTAGAGAAGGTTGTTGCTGGATACATTTAATCCTTCTGTCGGTCTATGAATCACTGAATGGATCAGCACCAAAATACATAACAGATTTGTTGTCAGTGTATTAACCTCCCAGACCACTCAGGTCTTCTAGTTCCAGCCCACTTTGTACAAGAACTAGAACCAAACATGGAGAGGCAGCATTTAGTTCCTATGCTCCACAGATCTGAAACAAACTCAGAAACGACTCTAGAAATGCTGAAAGCCTGATTTCTTTTAAGTCAAAGATAAAACCCATTTCTTTAGAACTGCTTTTTACCGTTGAAGTTAAACTGTTAACTGAGGTGCTGGTAAAGATTCTCAGTCATCCAGGTCATTCCAAAAAAGTAAAAAAAAAACAAAAAACAAAAAAGAAAACAATCCACTGGACTTTGTTTCCAAGTTTGAAGATGTTTCGCATTTTGAATTAAAAAGGCTACTGGATGGGAAGCGAAACGTCTTCAAACTTAGAAACAAAGTCCAGTGGATTGTTTTTTTTTTTTTTTGGAATGTAACTAAGGTATTATTAGTGTAAGGTTATCCGTTAAACAAGGTTGTGGTCCAACTGTTTATGTGTTCTGCTACCTGCTTTTATCATGTCTTTTCTTTTCTTTTCCTTCTATCATAATTAAGTTGCTTGGCATCAGTGGCGCCGGATACAGGAGTCCACCCTGCAACCAGAGGATTGTATTTTCAAGCCCTGGCTCTGGCATTCAGTGTCTTTGTGTCCTTTGTTATGGTAGTAAGAGGGCCTAGTGGTGCCAGTTTCTTTGGTCATTGTGCATATTACCTTTTCCGTCAGAGCTCATTCTCTTCTTTTTAACCTGCAGGCACCTGTTTGCAGTCCTACGTATGTTAATGGTTGTTGTTGTTGGCTAGTTGTTTCTGTGGAAGCATCACACATCAACACCTCTAGCAAATGCATAAAGGTTTCATTGTTGTCTTTTTTTGCAAAGATACTTTCGGTTCCGCTGTGGATATGCGTTCAGCCTTAAAGGAGGATCATGAAGTTAGATCAACAAAAAATGCTCTGCTATCCAGGTTAGCAGATGTCAACAACTTACAACTGTTGTGAGCTAACCAGAATGTGTTTCAATGTGCAGTTAAGCTGTTTCTGCATCAGTACTAAAAATGCTAAGTCCCTTTGATTAATAAAGCATTGCTGCATACTTATAACTGGTCTGATAAATCAGCCCATTTAAGGTAAATGTGATATTTTAGATTGAATATAGATTTACTAATGAACCTAACCTTCATCAATGGGGAAACTGAGAAACTGGGAAGACCCATGTATGCTCACTGGGAACATACAAATCAAGACTTTAAGCTAATAATCACTGTATTACCATGCAACCCAAAAACTGGAGCACAATTTTTAGTTTTAGAAATTATTTCATTTTGTATTATTTAAGTAGAATTTTCACTTACAACCTTTTACAAATGGGTGGAATAAACAAATCTGGGGTCATTTGGTTTGCAAAACCATGTTTTGAATAATCTGTGCCAGGCTTTTACTTTCAGTACCTAAACCGAGGAATAGCTTTAGTATGACGTCTACTCTTTACAAACACTGTCACATGGTTAGACTCTACAATGGTGCCTTTGAATAAAAAGTATTTTTCTAATCATTGGTTTATCAGAAAAACAACAAGCTCTGCTTAACTTCAATAGATGCTTCAATCAGTTGGTCTCTTTTGGCGCAGCACACTATGAGCCATCCTTTATTAACAAAAGGTTTTTTGTATTCCTTCTGGCTCTGTTAATAGTTTAAAGTAACAATGAAACAATACTGTGAAAGTGAGCAGGGGATGCTGGCCGTTCTGCTACATGTACTTCATCTTTTTGTGACTCTTCTACTTTTATGATGGTAGTGGGGAACTATGAATGGCCACTGTGGCTGCCAGGAGTCAATCAAAGCATGACTCTTGGCATGTTTTATTAAAGAATAAAATGCACAGATGTTGTAATTTAAAGAAATGATTTTGGAGTTGATTATCTTTCAGCTATTAATGCATCTGAAATTAGGAAACGTTAAATCAGGTGATAAAAGGACAGAAAGTATATAGGGAGTGTAGTTTAACATAGTTTGGAATCTGTTTTATGCATCTGTGATTTTAGAACCTGGTAATTAAAAGACCACATGCACCATTTTTTGTTTAACCTTATCTAAACCACGATGGGCCTAGGTGATCATTAGTGGACTAAGGGCTGCTGGAAAGATTTGACAAGTTAAAACCTTTCGAAACTAACTCGACAAGTTTTGCTCTCTCTCTTCAATTAAAAATAAATGTCTGATTTGGAACAAAGAAGAGTCATTAAGTTAGTTATACACACCCAAGTACTGTCGGGAGTGGCTGTTATGTGTAAAGTTATTTTTGCCATTTGGAATTAAGGCTAAATTGTTTTCTTACACAAGCATTTTAAAAGATCTCCTCTACAGCATAAACTTTAAGGCTGAAAGTAATTAGACAGTAGATGAAAACTCATTGAGTAAAATTTCTGCTATGTCCAACATTATTGTACTGTAACAATATTTTTTTTAGTACGTTGTTTTTTTTTTGGCACGTTTAAAATCAAACTTTTGTATTTGATTTATGTATGAATTACAAACAACTTAAATAGCTTAATAAAGAACAAGTTAACTGTTACAAGTACTTGTGGAGATTTTGAAAATCAGACCGCATTGGATGACTAGTTGGCGGTGGGTTTACCTCGCATTGCAAATGACATGGCTGAGACCCGTTTCACTCAACTGGGTCAGTTTAGTGCTGCTAAGAAAAAGGGTGTTGAATGTTAATAGTTACCTGGTATATGGGTGATGAGATAAACAACATGTCTAAAAGTCTTAGCAGCTATTCAAAATGGCCCTTCTCAGTCAAATGCCAGCAAAATGGCAGCCCACTTCCCTCCAACTTCCAGTCACTGGAGTGACCCCTATTTCTTTTTTTTTTATTATTCTAACTCCACCCTTTCACTGAATTACAGAGTCTAACCAGGAGATTGTTCCTCTTTAGAATTTAATATCCACAAATCATGACAGAAAGAATATTTCAGGACAAGTATTAATGTTTAAAAATGAATTTTAGGGGACCAGCCAAGGGCCCATAAAGGAAAGTGGGGAAATTTTGAATGGCTACTAATGTATTTAGAGAACAGCAACTTACCGGTAGCCAAAATGGACATGCACATTATTAGCGCTCCAGCTTTGTTGGTGTTAACAGTACAGTATTTGCTAATGAAACAAACATGAAACTGAGTCTTTTCAACAATTTTGAGCTTATCTCTTTATCGTCCAAGTGTAATTTTTGGTAACTTGGACATAAACTAAAGACCCCTTTAATGTAAACAAGGCAAAATCATGAGGTCAGATGTTGTCTGGAGGTTCTGCAAGGTCCACCTAAAGCCAACTGTAACTCCTACATAGAATGTCACCAGAAAAGGATTGCGATTATTGCAAAAATAGAAATATCCTTTCCAGTGCCTTGAGATGACATTTGTTGTGATCTGGCGTTTTATAAATAAACTGAATTGAATCCAATGTTGGTTACTGGATTTGATATGTTCAAAAAAGTAAAACATTTAGTTCCTGTATGAGCATTAATGTTTCTTTCAATCTCCAAGTTTCTCAGCAATTTCTTATAGAAGCATTCTTTGGATTTATTTTTTTTTAACCATATCAGGGAAAATTACTGTCTTTGGTAATTACACTGACCTTGGTTTTTATCATAACTATACATGTCACAAAATAATAAGGTACTAGTGTGTCCTCCATTAAAACTCTTCACTTGAAATATTTGAATTTCGATGTCCATCCCCGAGGGTCTACAAGAGGTTAGACAACCTAAAACAAAATAATAGTTGGCTTTTTAAACTAATTTAATAAAACCAAGATCTAAATTGAAAAGTTCTGAGAACTTGAAATTTTAAGTTTATCAGCTGGAGGTAATCTTTATATGTAATAATAAATATACAAAAGTAATGCGTTATGATAATGGAAAGAAAATAATAAAGGGCTGCTTCCATCTTGTCCTTTGTTGCTAAGAGTAAATAACTTGTGAGTTTTGGTAAGAAATCATCACAAGGCACTTTAAATCCCTCCTATCCACTGTGGGAATTCACCGCACACGCTGGTTAACAGTAAAAAGGTCATTTCCTGGCCAGAATTCATTTCTCAAGACATGTTGATAAAAGCCACCATTCCACATTTTTCTCCAGCCTCAATGCTTGTGCAACGGCACGAACGTCCAAGTCTTCACGCATTGTTCACCTGAATATTTTCTGGTCTGAAACCAGTCGCCGTCTGTCTCTACTGCCTGATCCCAGACTGATATCATCACATACCTCTCACTTCATATCATTAACCAGCCGTAGGTAGAATGTATAAATAAATAACTTTTATTTAAGAGGAAAAAATTTACACATTTAGAACAACTATGATATAATTTTATTAAATATATTTACGAGAATCTGATTTAAGAAAAAAAAGAAATTAAATTTACTCTGTGTAGTAACAACTTGAAAAACTAACAGCAAAGCTTGTCCCCATTTTGGTAACTACAGTTCTAGTTTATTTTGTTTTTTAAAACCAGGATAGGTTGGCTTAATAACACCAACTTTCACTCTTCAAGATCAATAAGTTTCTTCAGATCAGACTTCAGTGTCTCCTCATCGTCCTCCTCTTCGACCTCCACCTCTATCCCATCCATAGTTTTCTGTAGGTCCTCCTTGATTCGATTCAGCTCCAGCAGTCCGTCCTGCAGGTCTTTACACACCTCTCGGATCTTGACAGCAAACTCAGTCTTTGCTCCCTTTTTCAGCTCCATGGAATCCTTTGCCAGGAAAAACACGTCCAGGGCCAGGAAGAGACCCGACATCACTCCTGTGGTGACGCTCATCACCTGTGCGGCTTTAGCAGCGCCGCCGGCGACGTTCAGGACCTGGACGGTGTTGATCAGGCTCTCTGTGTTGATAACTAAAGCCTTCCCAGCTCGGCCGCCCTCCTTCATTACATGTTTGACGTTCTGATTCAAGTGCTTTTTGGAGATGCTTTCGGCGTACTTCTCAAAGTTCCATTCGTCCAGTGTCTCCATTCCTTCCTGAATAGATCATGATTAGTCTGTTAGCAATGGTCTTAATTTAAGTTTAAAAAATTTTTATCATTACAGTAAAGTTTACACAAAAGTAAAAATGACGAATTTATGACTGTAAGTTCCCACCTGTATGAAATCCAAGCAGTCCTTGATGTCCTTAATCTCATCCTGGTAATCTTGGATCATTTGCTCCACCTTCTTGCGGTCCGTCTTTGAATGCAACGTGTCTGTGATGTTGGCTGAGGCTGATGTCACGCCACCCGCCGTGGCAATGCCGATGCCTACCGCCGTGACGATTAGTGACGTTCCTGCCGTGAAGGGTGCCAGAATGAGCCCAGTGATGGTGGTGACGGACCCGGCGACGCTGGCCACCCCGCCGCCGACGCTGGCTGTGACCGTCTTCTTGTGGAAGTTGTCTGCGGAGTCAGCCAGAGACAGAAGCTCCAGGATGCGCTGCTGGAGGGAAGCGCCCCGCTGATTGAAGAAGCGAACAAAGAGACGGGCGGCCATGAAGACTCGGTCGGCTGCTTCTTCCACAACTCTAATGAAGAAAAAATAAATGCATTCAAAATGACATTCATCCATTTGCGAACACACTCACACACTGATGGTGGCCAGACTGGTTCGAGCTGATAGAAGGGCAACAGTGACTCAAATTACCACCCGTTACAACCAAGGTGGGCAGAAGAGCATCTCTGAACGCAAAGTACGTCGAACTTTGAGGCAGATGGGCTACAGCAGCAGAAGACCACACCGGGTGCCACTCCTTTCAGCTAAGAACAGGAAACTGA